CATCTGTGTCCTTCATTGCCTAATGGAGCTAATTGTTGTTGTTGTTTAGTCTCCAAGTCGTGTCCGACTCTTTGCATTCCCATGAACTGTAACCCACTAGGCTTGTCTGTCCATGGGATTTTCCAGGCAAGAATACTGGAGTGAGTTGGAGTTTCCTTCTCCAAATGGAGCTACTGATAGTATTCAAATGGTGGGTGAGGTTATTAGGAGAGTTAAATGAACAAACATATGGAAAATTCTTAGAACAGTGTCCATCTAACATAGTAGACATGCGTGCTTAGTCACTCAGTCATGTCCCACTCTTTGTGACCCTGTGGACTGTAGCCCACCAGGCTCCTCTATCCATGGAATTTTCCTCACAAGAATACTGGAGTGGGTTGTCATTTTCTCCTCCAGGGGTCGAGCCCGCATCTCCTGCGTCTCCTGCATTGGCGGGTGGATTCTTTATCACATATCCACCTGAGAAGTGCCTAACACAGTGCAGATAATCAACAGATGCTAGCAAGCATTGTTATGGTTTACTTCTGCAGTGGCAACTAACTCTTCCAGTTTGACCAGGGTTGCTGTAAATCTTCAGTTTCAAAACTGAAAGTCCCTCATCCTGGGAGACCATTCAGTCCCAGGTAAACAGCTTGGAACCCTGTGTTCACCAGACTGGCTTTGTCAGTTCACTTTGAAAGAAGCACTACAAAAATTGTGTTAGCAGACATTGGCAGAATCTGTAGGTTGAAGATGATTCTGTGCCCAGTTGCTTCAGCCACGTTCGACTCTTTGCGACCCTATGGACTGTAGCCCACCAGGCTCCTCTGTCCGTGGGATTCTTCAAACAAGAATACTGGATTAGGTTGCTGTGCCCTCCTCCAGGGGATCTTCCTGACCCAGGGACTGAACCCTCGTCTCTTACGTCTCCTGCAGTGGTAGGCAGGTTCTTTTACCACTAGCGCCACCTAGGAAGCCCCAAGATGATTCTAAAGAACACGTTTGAACGCTGCCTTTCAAATGTCCCGTGGCTTTTCCTGATTTATTCTAGGACCCCATATCCATACTTAAATCAGATCCCCAATTTTTTTTCCATGTCTGTTTCTCACACATGACTGTTTGGGCCATCTCCTCATTCACCTCCCCTTGAGATGATCAAGGACCTAAGGTTGTAAGTCTTGTCTTGCTTCCCTGCCTGCTCAGTCAACAACGGTGGGTTGAAGGAATTTTGCTTTCCCGGACTTGAATGGGAGTGTCTAGATTAATTTGCCTCTGCATAGAATTTCCATAAAGGTGAGGCTTTTCCCAGGTAGTGAGTGCTATGTGACCTTGGCCAAATTACTTAACTGCTCTATGCCATATAGTAAGTGTCAGTGATGTTGCTATTGTTATTAATATTAGGCATAGGAAATTTTGAATTTGGAAAATGGAAGAGCTGGGATTTTGACCCAAGGAATCTGTCTCCAGCTTTAGGAGTCTGTGCTCTTGACAATTTTTCTTGATTTATTAAATTGAGAAGAAAAAAAAGAGCAAAAATAGATGAGAAGATATCCAGGAGGAAGTACACTATGTAAGTGAGCCTGAATGAGTGCAGATACACAAAAGCAACGTCAATAACTTATTCGACTTTATCTTTTTTTAAGGGTAAGAAAAATGGGAGGAGGAATAATCTCTTTGTTTTCTGTTTAAAGAAAGCAAAAATTCAATCCAGAGACCTACCTTCCTCTCCTACCCACTACCAGATGTTCATAAGGACATATTAAGTAAGATTTTATTTTCTACCAAAACCAAATTGGGAATTACAAAGACAGGATAAAAGGGGGAAAAATTATTTCTACTATAATTTTTTTAATATCCTGAGTTACATATGTCTTTAATATATTTAATCATTTGTTTTTCTTTTGTGGTTTTCACAATTAATTTTAACAATACATATCTCCAGGTTTCTGGTAAACAAATGTAGTTGAATTTTTTTTTTTCTGAAAGCAATATAGTATTCATTGATAAAGTTCCTAAGAAAATGGAGGGATAATGAGTTCCCTAGTGAGCTAGTGGTTAGGATTCAGGCACTTTCACTGCTGTGGCCAGAGTTCAATCCCTGGCCAGGGAACTGAGATCCCACAAGCCTTTGGTGCAGGAAAAAAAAAAAAAAGCAAACAGAAAAAAGAGGGATTAAATATGGTTTCAACACACTAGTTCAAAACAAAGCAAATAAAACAGCAGCAATAAAAAAAAAATAACAAGTCCTAATTGCATCCTCTACATGCTCCTGACAGCTATGATGCTGGTTTGTTTGCCAGTATTAGCTTCTTTTTCACAAACATCTTTAGTTTAGAAAACCTGCCTATTTGTGTCACCTCAGTAAGATGTTTTTCAAAGAATTTGCTCATTTCATCTAAACTTACATTTTGGACATAAGGTTGTTCATTATATCTTCTATCATTAGTTTTTTAAAAATCAGCCTTATCCAAGTATAATTTACACACAATAAAATTCACCAGTTTTGAATGTGCAAACAGTTTTGACAAATGTATACAGTTATGTGGGCTTCCCAGGTAGCGCTAGTGGTAAAGAACCCATCTACCAGAGAAGGAGGTGTAAACAATGTGGATTTGATCCCTGTGTCAGGAAGATCCCCTACAAGAGGGATGGCAATCCACCGCAGTATTCTTGCTTGGAGAATGCCCTGGACAGAGGAGCCAGGAGGGCTACAGTTCATAAAGTCATCAGACATGACTGAAGCGACTTAGCACTCATACAGTTGTGCAGCCATCACCATAATTACAATATAGAATATTTCCATCATCCCCTCCCCCCAGATTTTTCTTGTGCTCCTTTACAGCCAGTCCCTTCCCCCAGTCCCCAACCCTAGACACCTGTTGATCTGGTCTCTGACACTATCATTTTGCCTATTCTGGTATTTCATATAAATTGAACCTTACAGTTTGTAGTCTTTTGTGTCTGGATTCTTTCAGTTAGCATAATGCTTTTCAGATTTATCCATGTTGAATGAATGTGTATCAATAATTTGTTCCTTTTTCTTTTGAGTAAAATTCCATTGCATGGCTATACAGCAAACTGTTTACTTATTCATGAGCTGATAGAAATTTGGGTTTTTCCAGTTTGGAGCTATTATGAATAAAGCTGCTATGGTCATTTTCATACAAGTGTTTATTTGAACATGTTTTCATTCCCTGGTGGCTCAGAAGTTAAAGTGTCTGCCTGCAATGCGGGAGACCCCGGTTCAATCCCTGGGTCGGGAAGATTCCCTGGAGAAGGAAATGGCAACCCACTCCAGTATTCTTGCCTGGAGAATCCCATGGACGGAGGAGCCAGGTAGGCTACAGTCCACGTGGTCGCAAAGAGTCGGACACGACTGAGCGACTTCACTTTCACTTTCATTTCTCTTAGGCAACTATCTAGGAGTGAAATGGTTGGGTCATAACAGGAGGTACACATGTTCAGTTTTATAAGAAACTAACAAATTATTTTCCAAATGGCTATACCATTTTACATTCCCACCAGCAACTTATGAAAGTTCCAGTTGCTGCATATCCTTGCTGACACTTGGTAATTATCAATCTTTTTAATTATAGTCATTCTAGAATGTGTGTAGATGTAGCTCATTGTGGTTTTTAATTTGTATTTCGACAATGACAATGATACTGATGAGCAACATTTCATATGTTTATCATTCATATATTTTCTTTAGTGTTACTTTATCATTATCTTATTATAAAAAAAAGTCAAAGCAGCATTTATATCATCATAATTCCTTCTATATGACAATATACCAAGGGAAGAGAGAGAAAACCAATTCTTGTTCAATACTCTATCTCTGGGATGTGTGTTCTCAGTTGATCCAGAACAGCCAAGGAGTCAGGTAGTTGATGAACTTTACGAATAAGAAAAGGAACCAATAGGTAAGCCATTATTCAAATTTCTGTAGCTATTACATGGTGAAAGATTTTCAAAGTTTATGCTCTTGCTGTGCCCTCTGCTACTTCTTACATAAGGCTTTTGAAATTTAACTTTCCTAACTCATATTAAGTTCTATGACTCTCAGACTTTTTCTGCTAGATTTTAACTTTTGTCAGCTCAGCTTTTAAAAAGAGCTAAACTTGGGACTTTCCTGGTGGTCCAGCAGTTAAGATTCTGTTTCCAATCAGGTGAGGTGGGTTTGATCCCTGAGATCCCTAGCCAGGAAAGTAAGGTCCCACATGCTTCATGGTGGGCCCAAAAAATTTAAAAAATTTTTGTTTAATAGCACAGGGAACTATGGTCAATATCTTGTAATAACCTATAATGGAAAATAATTTTTAAATAACACGTGTATAACTGAATCACCTTGCTGTGTACCTGAAACATTGTGAGTCAACTATACTTCAATAAAATATATATATTAAGGAAAAAAAAGAGCTAAACTCTTCTGGAATCTGAACAATAGACTTGGGACAAGAGGTAATTCTGTTTAAAATATAATTTTTAAAGGTCACAAACAGCCAGTTTTTAAATGCATGCTTAAGGTTTTTTGTTTTTCTTTTGTCAACATTTAAGAAGATTTCTTTATTCTACTGAGATGAAGTGTTAATACAATATTCTTACCTGTTTTCACAGTAACTTTTATTTCTAATTGTGACATTTCTTCTGGACAAGGGAGGAAAGTATATATTAAATAGTATTATAGGATAAAATGCCAGCCTATAATTTTTTAAAGGTTTAATGCTTTTTAAACTAGATAATACAAGTTATAAAAAAGAAATTCAGAATATCAAAAAGTATTTAGTGAAAAGTAAGTTTCTCATCTTTGGTACCCAATCCCCAGTTTTCTCCAGAGGCACTCATTTTTAACAATTTTCTATATATCCTTCCAGGATATTCCATGCATATGCAAGCACAAATATTTAATATATTCTTTAAAATACAAATAGAACTATCATATATACACTAGATCTGGCATTTTCTATTTTATAATGTAACTTAGAGTTCCATATTGATATTTTAACAATGCCGCATTGAAGATGGCGGGCCCCGGGCGGCGGCGTGAGGCGGCCAGCGCGGCTTCTTCGTGCCCAGGCCCGGGCCCGAGCCCGTGGGCGCTGAGGCCAGATCACGCTAGCGGCTGTGGCAGCGGCGGCGGCGGCGGCGATGACTTCTCCCTGGTGCTGCTGGACCCGGTGGGTGGAGCCGTGGATGCCGCGGGCGCTGGCCAGGCCACAGGGCCCGTGTGGAGGGAGGAGGCCGGGCCGGGCCCAAGGCTCCTGGGGGGCGAAAGCGGCGCGAACCCCGAGGGCCGCCCTGCGCTGGGCCCCAGCCGCCTGTCGGCTATCCCCGCCCCAGTCCCGGCCCGGGCCCTCTCCCCGCTCCAGGCCTGGGCCTGCCGCGGCCCTCGCAGGCGCAGCCACCATTCACGGCCAAGACCTGCAGTTGCGCTCGGAGAACGGCGTCCTCGCGCTAGCCACGCCCCCACCGCAGCCCGGGGGACTCATCGCCCGGCAGGCCGGGATCCCGCACGCCGCGCAGCCTGGAACTGCCCGGAGCTGCCGCCCGACCTCCTGCTGGCGGAGCGCGCAGAACCTGCGCCTGCCCCAGCGCCTGAGGAGGCGGCGGAGGGCCCGGCTGCTCTTGAGAGCCCCCGCGGGCTTTAGCAGGATGTGGACACTTGGAAAAGCCGAACGATGCCCAGTCGCCACTTGTAATAAACTCTTCACGTCCAAGCACAGCATGAAGACCCGCATGGCCAAAAGGCACAACCTGCGCCAGGATCTCTTAGCTCAGCTGGAAGCTGCAAATTCTCTTACACCCAGCAGTGAACTTAGCAGCCAGGGGCAGGGTGACCTCAGTGATGCTGGGCTGTGTCTCTCTTCTCTAATGTGCCTGGTGATAGTTCTGCTGCAGTGCTGCAGTGCATTGGCGAACTCTGGGATCTTGACTATTGATGTGCCTTCTGTGAACTCAGCTCTGGCAGGAAACCTCCCTGCTAATAATAATAATTCCTTAGGGCAGGCGGTGGACCCTCAGGCCTTGATGGCCACCAGTGACCTTCCTCAAAGTTTGGATACCTCACTCTTCTTTGGAACGACAGCAGCAGGTTTTCAGCAGGGTCCCTTAGATATGGATGATGTCTCAAGCCTAAGTGCAGGGCCGTTGGCATCTCTGAGCTCTTTGGCTGTGAAAAACTCAAGTCAAGAGCCCCAAGATTTGACCCCTAGTAATAAGCTAACAGTAGACACAGATGCTCTGACTCCTTCAAGCACCCTTTGTGAAAACAGTGTCTCAGAACTACTGCCACCAACCCAAACGGAATGGAATGTACATCCTGACTCTGACTTCTTTGCACAGGAGGAAGAAACCCAGTTTGGATTCGCCAATCCAGCAGGAAACCATGGGTCTCAGAAAGAAACAGATCTTATCATAGTGACTGGCAGCTCATTTTTGGTATGAACTCAACTCTGTTCATTCCTTGCCACATGGCTTACTTTTACTGATGACTCTCAATTTGGAGAATATTCTGGACTGAATGCTTAAATACAGTCATTTCTTATAGGTCTGAGAAGAACAGAGCCCTGGGCTACACGTTTGGAGATTTAAATCCTGATCTTGAGTCTGGAACTTATGGTTGTGTGACCTTGAACAAGTCACTTATCCTATCTGAGCCTTAATTTCCTTATTTATAAGATGAGGTGGTTTGAATAGATTGTTTCTAAGGTCTTTTCAACTCTATGATTCCTTGATAATATGCTTCTTTCCTTAGGAAAAATTAGAACATTTTTTCAGTGGAAAAAAAAGCCTCATTGTAATGGCTCCATAACAGTCCATTAAAGAATATGCCACAGAAATTCCTGGGCAGTCCAGTGGTTAGAACTCAGCACTTTCACCGCAGTGGGCTTGGGTTAGATTCCTGGTCTGGGATCTTGCCTGGAAAACTCCTTGCATGGAGGAGCCTGGTGGGGTCCTCCCATGGTGTCAGAAGAAGTCGGACACGACTGAGCACATGCCACTGTGCCACTGCCCTGGGAACTAAGATCCAGGAAGCCACGTGGTGAGGCAAAAACAAAATATGCCACAGAAACTTACATATATTGTGCAAAGCCTAAAATATTTACTACCTGGCCTTTTACAGAGGAAGTTTTTGGGGTTCTCTTTTTGTTGCTAATTCTTAAGTTAATAGTGAGTGATTAGAGAACATGGTCTCAGGATTAAAAATTAATAACAAGAAACATATTAAAAGCCCTTTGAGATACTGTACTTAGAAATTTAAAATATATATTACTCCAGGGTAAAAAAGAAATATAAACAAAAAGCTAATAAATACTTGGAACAGAATGATAGTGAAAACCCTCTACATTAAAACTTGGGGAATAGAAAAAAACAAACAAAACTTGTAGGATAAAGCAAATACTTTTATCCTTTTATGCTCATGTTAGTTAATAAAATACAAACAAAAATTAAAGACATGTATCTCAAATAAGATATTAGAAAAGGAACACAGAATAAATCCAAACAGAAGGAAAGGAGATAGATAATACAGAGAACAAAGAATAGAAGAAGCGCACAATAGAATCAACAAAGCCAAATTTCTTTGAAAAGGTGAACAAAATTATTTGGTTTGTTTTATTTTCTAAGATAGAAAAGACATGAATGGATGTATTGAGTTCTTAATCTAGATTACTGCATGCTTTTAGTTCTAGAATTTCCATTGGTTTTTCTTCAAATCTGCCGTACCCCTAACCTCTGCTATCAACAAAAATAATTTTTAGTCTTCTGCTGAGATTTTCAATCTTGTGTTTTATCTCCTTAAACATTATCAAACATAATTATTTTAAAGCCTGTGGCTAACAACCCCAATATCAGAAGCCCTGGTGTGGTAACTGTTTTCTATTACTACTTGTTCTCCTTCAAATTGCCTTATCTCCTTACAGGTTTAATGATTTTTTTAATGCCTGTGGGCATTGTACTTGAAACTCTGAGGCCATAGTGCTATCTTCTATCTAAAATTGCCACAGGGCATTAGCAGCTTTGAGTCCCTAAATCCAATTTCAGGAATTAAAATGATAGCTACAAATTGGGCTAAAACTTCGAGTAAGGCAATTTGACTTCCAATTTTGACTTAATCATAGTGTAGGGGCTTGCAAGCTCTCAATCCAAGTGTTAGTCGCTCAGTCATGTCCAACGCTTTGCAACCCCATGGACTGTAGCCTGCCAGGCTCCTCTGTCCATGGACTTTCCCAGGCAAGAATATTGGAGTGGGTTGCTATTCCCTTCTCCAGGGGATCATCCTGACCCAGGGATTGAACCCAGGTCTCCTGCATTGTGGGCAGATTCTTTACCATCTGAACCACCAGGGAAGTTAAGAGAGAAAATTTATGCCTCCACTGCCCATAGTACTGGCTTCCCAGGTGGCACAGTGGTAAAGAATCTGCCTGCCAACGCAGGAGACACTGAAGATGTGGGTTTGATCCCTGGGTCAGGAAGATCCCTGGAGTAGGAAATGGCAACTCCAGTCCCCACTCCAGTATTCTTACCTGGGAAATCCCATGGACAGAGGAGCCTGGCAGGCTACAGTCCATGAGGTCTCAAAGAGTCAGACCTGACTGAGCACACATCACACATCACTCATAGCATTAATGGCACCAGAAGAGAGAAAAACAAGTGGGCATCCTGAGAACCTGATTTTGCCAATACTCAAATCAATATCCATGAGATAGTAATGTGACATTTAAAGCATTTAGAAGTGGTTCTGAAAGCAGGAAAGGTGAAATAAAGACTACTTCTGTGACCCCAGGCAACCAATATAATCCCAAGAATTAATTGCAGCTCTCCCTCCTGAAACTATTGGTCCTAAACTTCTTTCAGCCCTTGACTTGTCTCACTGGCAACTGAGCGGTTCACTTCCTCAACTCCTTCCAGTCTTTGCACAAAGTCTACCATCTTAAAATGGCATGGCTGATGACCCCATTTAAAAGAGGAACTGCTCTCCTTCCTGCTTTTCATTACCCTACTCAGCTTTCTTTTTTTCATAAACCACTTACTGTTTACTCTGCTGTGTGATTTATTTAAATGTCATGCCCATTATCTGTCTTTCCCCCATAGAAATGCTACAAAGACAGGAATTTTTGTTTTATCCACAAATATATCCTAGCACCTAGCACAGCATCTGTATAGGTGTGCATGTTCAGTCACCAAATCCTGTCTGACTCTTTTGCAACCCCATGGACTGTAACCCACCAGGCACCCCTATCCATGGGATTTACCAGGCAAGAATACTGGAGTGGGTTGCCATTTCCTCCTCCCAGGGATCTTCCTGACCCAGGGATTCCTTACCACTGAGCAACCTGGGAAACGCACAGCATCTATTGGAGTAAATGAAGGCAGTTCTGAGACCATCAAAGATATGAGAGGGAGTATCACAGATGTCTCACTTCTCCCCTCTAACCCACAGTTTATCAAACATTTTTTCCCCAACTACTTACAGCCCTGTCCTTGAGAGAACCAGCAGTTTCTTGGAGGAACAACTGTCAGAAGTAAAGATGACATGAAAACACACTAGGTAGTTACTAGCAAATGTGCAAAGAAAACATGTCTAGGGAGTTCCCTATGGTCCAGTGGTTAGTTGTCATTCAGTCGCTAAGTCATGTCCTACTCTTTGCAACTCCAGGGACTGCAGCATGCCAGGCTATCCTGTCCTTAACCATCTCCTGGAGTTTGCTTGAACTCATGTCCATTGAGTTGGTGATGCCGTCCAATCATCTCATTCTCTGTCGTCCCCTTTTCCCCCTACCCTCAGTCTTTCCCAGCATCAAGGTCTTTTCAAATGAGTCAGTCTTTGCATCAGGTGGCCAAATTATTGGAACTTCAGCTCAGCATCAGTCCTTCCAATGAATATTCAGGGTTGATTTTCTCTAGGATTGACTGGTTTGATCTCCTTGCTCCAAGGGACTCTCAAGAGGACTCTCATTCACTCCCAGTGGTTAGGACTTGGTGCTTTCACTGCCATGACCCAGATTCAATCCCTGGTTGAAGATCCCTTTAGATCCCACAAGCTGTGTGGCGTGGCCAAAGGAAAAAAAAGATAACATGTCTACATTGAGTAAAATTTCAACACATAATTTTCAGTGATTGGAATGCAAGAAAGGGCAGACATTTCAAACACACATGAAGTCTTTTTACTCATTAAGTTTCTTGTTAAAGAATCATTGAGATGCATGATTTCTACACATACTGATTGCTCTACATTTACAAAGCCAACAGCCCACACAGGTACCTGGCTGCCTATACTCATGTGATGTGGTTGAGAACAAAAGGTAAATAAAGGATCTTGCTGAAAATCAAACAAACAAAACAAAAAACATTTCCCTTACCTCTGTTTGTGGTCTTATTTTGGATTTACATATTGTAGGTTCTTGTATCCTGCCTGCCTGGCCCACCCTTTATCTGGCTCTGCACCTCAAGATAAAGATAATAGAGATTTCTAATACTCATGCACTACCACGCCCTGCATCTATCATTACGATATGGATTCTTTTGCTTAGAAGCAGATTACCTCTCCTTCTGGAGTTCTAGAATAGGCTTGTTCTTTCAGTAGCAGCCCTCCTGTCTGAATGACTCATCTCCTTTCGGATATTCCTTCTTGTCCTTCTCTTTCAGGAGACTTTGAGGTTGGTTTTTCTTCTTCTTGCTGTTTCAGCTAATGGAGACTATGCTTTCCCCTTTCCAAGATCCAGGAGTCTCTCCCATGGACCTCAACTGGTAATGATCCTCTCATACCCACAAACATTCTGGCACAGTAGCATCTATATATACTGTAAACCTGACAACTGATCTTAACTTCCACAGAAACCATGGGAATTCACACCAATGAATGCAAAGAAAAATAACCAAGTTCTTTGGTTTCTCATTAAACACAATAAGATGCCTTACTAAATATGTTTAAAGGAAGGTGGGTGTGCTTTTCGCATATGTGCTCGGTCACTCAGTCATGTCCAACTCCTTTGAAGCCCCATGGACTGTGGCCCCTCCAGGCTCCTCTGTCCTTGGGATTCACCAGGCAAGAATTCTGGAGTGGGTTGCCATTTCCTTCTCCAGGGGATCTTCCCAACCCTGGGATCGAACCAGAGTCTCCTCCACTGCGGTGGATTCTTTACCACTGAGCTACCAGGGCAGCCTGAGGTATTGTGTTATCTGATGGCAAAATTTTTTTGGTGGGGGAGCTCCAAAATCACTGCAGATGGTGACTTGCAGCAATGAAATTAAAAGACGCTTACTCTTTGGAACAAAAGTTATAACCAACCTAGACAGCATATTAAAAAGCAGAGACATTACTTTGTCAACAAAGGTCTTTCTAGTCAAGGCTATGGTTTTTCCAGTAGTCATGTATGGATGTGAGAGTTGAACTATAAAGAAAGCTGAGCACCAAAGAATTGATGCTTTTGAACTGT